ATTGTGTGTGTGTGTGTGTGTGTGTGTGTGAGAGAGAGAGAGAGAGAGAGAGAGAGAGAGAGAGAGAGAGAGAGAGAGAGAGAGAGAGAGAGAGAGAGAGAGAAGTGAATGTGCTTACTGGGCGCAACGGCAGACCCATTGCACTAAGTACGAAATTGCCCCTCGGCACACTCCACTCCGATGGATGGTGATATTTACACGTAGCACCAAATTTACAGTCGCCGGTCCTCAAATAATATTGACATTCTGGTTGACCGGGTCTTTCTGGAAACGCGTGTTCCTTTTGACTGCTACTTGACTGGCCGGCAGAAGTAATAGGCATGTACGGGCCCGCGTAAGCAGTTGCCGAAGGAGAGAGCTGTGTAATTCCGTAGATTTGGGCCCCACCAACTGGGGGTTGATTGCTCGAGGAGGCCAGAGGACTAGCAGGTGTCTGTACCAAGAAACGTCCAGAATTTAGCCAAAATAAAAAATAAAAAAATCTTATCTTGGTAACCAAACGAGGCCCTAACAGTTTACAAAATCTCGAGATCGAACGAAAAAGTTGCAGCTACACATATGACATACCTGATAAGGAGTCCAACCAGGAACATGAACGACACCTGGAGGGAGGAGCATCGGACCGTAATTTCCGGGAACATACGAACCGGGAAGCATGGCAGGCCTGGCGATAGGCCAATTGCCTTGAATTACGCTGTACTGTTGAGAAGATTGAATCGAAGGAGATGGTCCAGTTGGATAAACTGGTTGCGTGGGACCCGCAAAAGGGCCGCCGGGACCAGGGGGTTGGGGGGCCTGCGGCATTTGTATCCCTGATGGCTGGGGGTGATGATATTTACAGGTGACACCGAATTTGCACTGCCCTGTTTTTGCATAATACGAACATTCTTTTTCCCCCTGCAAACGGGATTCTATTAGTATCCATAAGAAAAAATAAATAAATAAATTATTTTTTTGCAAGAGTCGAACCGGTCTTAAAGGGTATCCATAGAAGTTCAGTCCGGCTGGAGCCGAAGATCCAAGTCCGTGCTTTGGATGGTCGTACTTGCAGGAAGTACCGAATTTGCACATCCCAGTCCGCATGTAGTACTACAACGAATCGAACGTTGATTAAGAAGTAGACGGCACTTCAATTCCTCAAGTGCAAGTAATTCAATATTGTAAAGATTAAATGCTTGATGCTCGTGACAGCGTAATATGGAACAGAGATATAAATGCTCGATGCTAAACCCCCTTTTTTTTATACTCGGGAAATCACATCTTGTAAGAGACAATAACCAGACGAAGCACCATGGATAATAAAACAGTGCTTAGTCTTCCAAAAATCGAGAGGATAGAAACGAAGTAATTAACAAGCACAGCATACTTAAACAGAGGAGTCGTTTGAAGAGCGAAAAATGGAGCAGATGAATCGGTATATTAGCATTACAGAGAAAATACACTTTCGTTTCCAAGAATTTAATCTATAGAAGTACTGCCGAGTTAGCATAAGCATCGTCCACGTCAACTTTAGAAATCGTGCAAGGTAAAAAAACGAAAACCATTTTGAAACCAACACGAGATATGTTAATTTCAGGCAGCACTTCGGATATCAATGTTTTCGCAACATCAAGAAACCAATGAAGACATTAAGTATACTACCACATTAAAGCGATCACGTTTTTTACGTAGAAATTGCGGTTACATTGCATATACACGCAACTTTACACATTTCATATACGCCCAAATTTACATTTAAGTGGATACCTGACAGATAGGCTGGCCGACACGTTCTGGGTACTCACCTCCACCAGCTCTTAAAGCTCCCATTACCTAAATCATAAAAGCGAAGCCACATTGCTTTAATGCATGTTCAACAAATTCATACGATTACTAAATTTTTTACGTTTTTTTTCCCAATTTACCCTCTACTTCTATATCACTTCCCAATTTATTTATAACCCTCACTAAAAGAACAAAGACTCCATTTTTACTAGAATTTAACATCAAATCGTGTAGAACCCAACTAGTTATCTTCAATGCATGCACACCATATCGATTTGATCGTCCGGTCAACTAAAACAAGACGCGATTTTGACCCCAAATCCCACTAATTCAGCTCAATGCATGCTTAACCAATTCATGTAAAAGCATCCAAATTTAACAATTTTCCCGATTCTACTTCGCTTCTAAACGCCACAGATTCCCCATCGAATCAAGAAAGATTCGATTTTTCCCCCAAATTAGCAATCAAAATCGACACGAAACATCTCTAATTTACGCTCTTTAACAAACGATCGCCACAACAACAACAAAAAAATTCGATCTTGCCGAAAAAAAAGGGAGCTTTACCATACTACGGTCACGAGGATGGTTGAACCTGCACCTATTGCCATATCCACAGAAACCAGTCCTCAAATAATAGATACAATCGGGCTCATCGGGCCTCTCGGGGTACGATTCGGGCCCGCCTCCGAGGCCTAATTGCCACATAGGCTCTGCATTCAAGAATTAACAGACATCAAACATTTGATAAATCAACATTTACAGAAGCTCGAGTTCAGCTCAGTTTAAACATAAAAACACCAAAAATCGACTGAAATTCAACCGAAATTCAGATGAAATTCAAATGCAACTCACCTTCGAGCCCCGTCTCTCCGCCCGGGGCGGCCCATTCCGCCACCGGATCCACCTGCACTGCTTCCATTGCCTGGGTCCCACCGTACCTCTCCATATATATTCCCACTCACAGAAACAAAACGCAGACACACACGCACACACACACACACTTTCTCTCTCTACAAATATATATATATATTGGACGGTATAAATATTTTATACAAAACAAGTATTTTGAAAAATATGCAGAGGGTATATACAGAGGTATAGACACAATCACGCACAGTTCTGTGTGATTGTGTGAGAGAGAGAGAGGGGTTTGATCGAGAGAGGGGTTTGGTGGTTTTAGAGAGAGAGAGAGATGGAGGAGAGAGAAGTTTTCTACTTTCCAGTGGTCTTTTTTTTCACACACACTGCGGTTTTATATATTTCACACTCACTGTGTGTGTGAGATTTTTTGTGCACTTTTTGTGCGTTTTCTTTATTAAATTTATATTATATTATATTATTGATTTCGTCTTTTTGTTTGCTTTATTTTATTTTATTTTATTCGATTTTCTGAGCTTATTTCTTTTTGTTGTCTGTTTTTTTGACAGTTTTATTACGCGCTTAGTACATTAATCCCCACTCTTTGTTGTGGCTTATGAGGCGGTTATTTGCATGTGATTTAATGACTAATTTGCCCTTTTAAGTGTGGGACAAATTTCATACTATACACACATAAACATGTGAATATATTTAATATAGTTAAATTAAACATCTATAAATTAATCCAGCCGAGACTAGTAAAATCTTATTAATTTAGCGAAATATTAAATTATCGAACTAGTAATTAAGTACCTTTACACCGAGTAAGAACTGAGATAAATTATTATTTAAGCGATATTATTAATTTATCGAGGTTCTACTGTAGTAATTCATTACCCACAAAACTTAATTCAGAAAAATAAAAGAGTATTAGTTTAATTTAATTGTTAAAATAAAAAAATATATAGATAAAAGAATCACTTTTCAATCCCACTTTTGATTTGCCACCAATTGAATTAAAGTAATTGTTATTGGTTTATTACTCAAATGCCATTAAAGTTATATAGATGACCATTTTGTGGTGATCATAAGAAAGAAATTAATCTTTCCTTGTATAGAAAATAGGTTAGCCTTTAATTGTTGATAAAGAGCTATTTCCTTTTATGGTAAAAAAAATATGGATATTTCTTTTATTATAAACTAATAGTATATGCTTTAGTTGTATTTAATCTAAACCTCTTAATAACTCAGCCCACAGTTTATTTTTTCTTTCTATTTGTTGTTTTATGATTTACTATATACAGAAAAATCTCGATAACTTAATAATTTTACTTAAACAGTAATTTTTTCTGGTCCTGACTTAATAAAAACGTACTAAATTAGTAGCTCGATAATTTAATATTTCCACTGAATGAACAAATTTGTTTATAAATAGTTACTAGTAAGTAAATTGTAAAGTATGAATATTTATTATTCTTTGTAACAAAAATTGTGGATCAAAGCTATATTTGAATTGTAGACCGTAGTGGTCACCATGGTGAGGTTTAGTCAAAGGGCATTTTGGACAATTCCTATTAATGAATATAATAATGATCTAAAAGGAAATGGGACAATTAAAAGTTGATGCAGAAGTCAGGGGAGAGTACACATAGTGTCCAATGCAAACGAGACACGTAGCATCGAGCCCCATTACTATGTGACTTCAGCCAGCCCAACGACGTGCTTTTCGCGCGTGCAAGCCACGCTAGTGTTAATTGAACAATTTTCAAATTTTTATTTAGTTTTATATGAGAAATTGAAATTTGTTGTCGATGCTAAATCCGGTCAAATATATCGACTAAATTGTACATCTACACTCAAATACATGTACATATATATACACACACACATATGGTGGTGTACGTGAAAATGTACAATCATATCGAAATGTATTTTATGCAATTTTACTATAAAGTTTATTGAACAATTGATAAAGCTTATTTGCATAGCTTAATCACACAGCTTAGTTACATTGACGATCAACAATTTAGTTAAAATAAACCGAAAATAACTTAATCTTTTGTGCCTACGTCACCACCAATATTACCATCGTCATTACCGAACAATTCTTAATATTTTTTCTTTTTCGTTTCCACGCTCCCCCATGCTACAGCGGAGTGAAGGACCCCAACCGAAATCGTATGTGTGTGGTTACGTAAGTGTGTTTAAAGGTGTGTTGTGTGTGTGTGTCTGTATGAAAGAGCATCGACGATGGCAACGACAATGAGCAGTAGTGGAGCCGATTTGACGAAGTTCAGCAGAATTGGACGAAATCTGACAAAATGCAGTTAAATCAGATGGGATGAAGGCAAGTCTGAAGGATATAAGATTTTTAGCAATTTGCAAAAGTCCGATTATCCTAATCTAAAAGGCTATTAGTGCACATAACTACATAAGTATTTAGCAAATTGCCCATTAGACTAATGGCTCGGTTGTAGGGCAATTAAAAAAACTCGAGTAATTGAATTTGAGTTTTTTTTTCCTTCTAAATAAGTAAATCATTTGATGTATTTATTGTGAAAATAAAACCAACGGCTGATATTTGATCTTCAAGAAGCTGATGGTCACGATCCATCTAGTGAATTTAATTGTCTTTTATCTCATTACAGTAAAAATAAAAATAAAAATAAAATAATTTTCTTCATTAAAACATGTGAATGTGGGTAGGTGTAATGTCAATAAATGCTATTCTTTAGTCCTTACCGGCAACCTTTTTGATAAAAACAAAATGTAAAATCTAAATTTAGTTTTTGGTTTTTCTTTCTTCCATACAAGAATTAAATTTAAATAAAATAAAATAAAATAAACCGGAAGAGCAAGTGAACCGGTAAAAAAAGAGGAGTTTGACTTTGGCAGCAAAAATAGAATACGTGGCGGACAGATAATGGGTGGGGGGAAACCGTGCTCAAATTAGCATGCGTCGGCGCATCGTATATTTTGTTATTATTATTGCCCCCAGCAACAAATCTTTGGGTCCCACCTTCACACTTTTACACCTTATACTATGTGTATTTATATATTAATACTATATACATACATGTAGGTCCCTCAAAAGTCAAAATTAATTTGGACCACTAAATCGGAACCTGGTAGGATTGTCAAACAAGTTGGAATATGGTCATGTAAGTGATGCAATCTATAAAGTATTCGAAAAATTGCGATTAATGTCAAATTACGAAAAAACCCTTATAGTTTCATTTTCATCCAAAATTTACTTATTAAAAGAGGGGATTTTTCGTTAGACAGTACATAATTGATGGGTGATTGCAATTACTCAAACAAAAGAGGTTTTTTTCGTAATTTCATCTTACTTCAGGGTTGGCTTGGCCGTACTTTGCTACAAAAGGCCTCGGCTTAATTCTCTTCTCCAAGCTGTACGAAACCTTCAAAACAAACGAACGATCGAGCCCCGTTTCATTAACGAAGAAATCCATGGCAGATGTCATCTTATCTAATGATTTTTGTCATGAAGTTAGGGTACTTCCCGAAAGCCTCCATAATCTCGTTTCCGAAAAACCCCGTTTCTTATAAGCTGCCACCCTCTTCTCCCACCCCGATCGATTTACCCATCACCGTTAATACATGAAGTGCGATAATAAATTGCAGTTAAACAACCCTTTTGCAAAAACAATTGAGGGGTAAAATGGTCAGAAAAATAAAACAGTTCTTTCTGGTTAAATTGTCAATGTCAAACTCTGAGCAAACAAGAACCAAGATTTGGACATAATAAAAATGAAGATTTTATGAAGAATGCAATAACAAATTCTGGCATATTCCATTTCAAACATATAGCTGAATTTCGAGATTAACAAACACCAATCAAGATCGAATGTATTACAAGAAGCAAAAAATTTAATTACTCTTCGAAATCGCCAATAATTCTTTCCGATACATATCAACTAGCTCAGGGGCAATTTCGTCATAGTACAGCACATACCTCTTCAAGAAATCCTTCTCCGCGCACTTGCACATGGAAGCCAATCGGGAGCTCTTGCCTTTACTGATCAAACCGCTTTCCAACAACTTTTTATAAACCAAAGATCTCGGTTTAATTCTTTTCTCCAAGCTGTACGAAACTAGCCCCGGTGCACGCAAAACGAAGGAATAATCGAGCCCCATTTCGTTAACGAAGAAATCCATGACACCCGTTATCTTATCTAGTGATCTTGTCATGAAGTTAGGGAACTTCCCAAAAGCTACCGTAATCTCGTTTTCCGAGAAACCCCACTTCTTATAAGCCTCCACCCTCTTCTCCCATCCCGATTTACTCATCACCATTAACACATGAAGTGCTATAACAAACGACACCCTCGACGGATCTAACCCTAGTTTCTTAACATCCTCCACGGTTTTCCTAAATTTTCCCGAATCTTGATTAATTACTCTCGGAAAGTGCTGCAGCAAGTACACGATTCTCGAGGAGGGGGCCCCCGCCCCCTTAAGGGCCTCGACGTTGGGCAGCAATCGGGACTCGAGGTCGCAGCGCAGTGCCTCGGTGGCGAGTTTTAATTGGCTGAGGCATGTTCCGTTTGCGTCGAACAAGCTCTTTATGTAGCTGAAAGTTGGTTTGATGTGCCCATCCAAACTCCTGCAGGTAATACAAGGCGATAACAAGAGAATATTTTTCACCTGAGAATCGGAGAAGCCCAAACATTGGAAAAATTGAATCTTGGGCAAAAGGGAGTTGTTAGGGTTGCGTAGTATAATGGTGGGGAATTTTCTAATTAGACTTCCGATTTGATCTCCGGTGAAACCATGGTTGTTTAAGAAAGCGACGACGGCGTCTGGTTTCTCCGGCGAATCGAATTTCAGGTACTTGGAGGCCGAAAAGGCCTTTTCCGGCGAAAATCCTAACGTGTTTATCAGGTAATTGACGGCGAACGAGTTTCGATTTTCAGTTTTTGAGGTGGATGAAGATGACGAAAATGGGGTAAATCGAAATCGACATGGATTTCTGGTGGGTGAAAAAACCCTACTGTAAAAATTCCTACGAATTGAAGCTATGTACGATGAACTGAACATCAATTCAAATCGAAATCACCTTTTCTTTATGAAATCGAATGCGTCTCTGAATTTGAATCAGATTGTCCTGTCAAAACCCTAAAACCCTTTCTTCATTGTTGGATCTAAAAATCCAAACTCCAAGAGTTTGATACCAATAACACGTGATTTCAAAATTAGAGTGGGGGAAAGTACAAATATCAAATACTTCAGGGACTGAGAATGCAATTAAACAACCCTTAGCAAAAACAAACAAATTTCATAATTCCACCCGCATTTCTCTCTCTAAAACACTCCCTTTTCTCTCTCTAAAATCTCACTTCTATCTCCGAGAATTCGTAATCTCATCTCTTTCGCCAACAATTAATTATTCACCAATTTGGAATCTGAAGCTTTTCCGATACTGTGAATTTTCAATTCATCGACAAGGTAAAAACGAAAAAATGCGTAATTTCACTGATCTCTTGTTTTCAATTATGTTTTTGAGTTTTTCATTTTGAATTCGAGTTTTGTATGGTTAGGGTTTAAAGGTATTGATTCGTGATTTATTTTCTATTGGGTTTAGCTGATTTACTGTTGATCAATGGATCAATGGTTAGGGTTTAATGTGATTGATACCTAATAAGTGTTAATAATTTGCTATTTGTGTTTAGGTTCATAGTTTAGCAGATAATGGTGCTCCCAAGAAAGTGTAGAAGTGTGAATAACCGCTGTTCTTCGATCCCTAAATTATCTCTTACCAAAGCTGGAGATGGTGCTCAAAGAAGCATCAGCAGGGTTAGTTTTCGCCTTTCGGTGAACTGTTATTTTTCGTGTTTCCAGTTCGATTCAGACGTCACTTCTCTCTCTTCTTTTCGTTGAAGCTATTATTTCCGATTTCGTTTTTTATACATGTAATGTTGATAAATAGAAGTGTCTTTCCGAAATTTCCTTGGATAGTTTTTTCACGAGATATCCGAATCGTGATTTTAACGATACTTGTAGCCTTAATTCTTGTTTAAACAAAAAAAAACATTTCGTTTTTTTCTTCTTTAAAACGCAGAGAAGAAATTTGGCTGACAAACTTGGGCCTAAGTGGACCGTGAAAGAGCTAACTCGTTATTACAACTCTTACTACAAGAACGGTAAAGATTGGGAAAAGGTATGTTCGAATTTACACTCGATTCGTTTAACCAAGATTGGCATAGTTGACTGCTTGAATTCGTTTCCTAAATTTACCTTCCTTAGAAATCTGATTCGTAAGGATAAATTTAGTTATTAACAATAAAATCACGAAAAAACATCGGTTTGGATTGCAATCCACAGGTTGCCGATGCTGTAAGAAATCGATCTTTGGAAATGGTGGAGCCCTTTACACAATGAACAGGTATATACGATTACAGTCAATCTTACCCA